TGATAGATTTCACTCCAGCCTAAGTCAAGTCAGTCCACAGGTAAGACAACTTAAGGCTGGGTGTCGTGGTTTTAGTTTTCTTTGAACCACTCCAGAGACTGGCTGGCAGTGGAGAGAGGAGCAAAAGAAGCCAGGCTAGCAAGGAGGACCAGGTCCACCTTATCTAAGGCCACACACTTATGTTTGACAGTGCAGATAGCAAATACTTACATTATAATTGTACAGGCTTAGAAACCAAAATTATAAGAAATCTACTGAGTAGTTTTTTCAGCTAATGCTTATCAGTTTGGATTAAAAACAGCAAGCTGCTCATATTCTCCAAAATGATGGACTCTTCACACTGGAGCTATGACCTCAGGGAGCTATCATCCTGTGGCTTCTCACACATTATGTCTTTGGTAATTAATCACGATCCAACTGCCATTCTGCAGTGTTATGAATGTAATAGGTAGGATTAATTCCACATTTTTAATGGTTAAGGCAGAGGGGCAGAGCAAGGAGTATCTGTCTTTATAATCAAATAACTCAACAAGAAGCAGCCTGGCGTAGGTCTGATAAAGAGGTCTCTTGTCTGAGATGTACCACACCTCAATTCTTGTGCTGGCTCTGCCCTTTATTATTACTGGGACCTAAGGAAAATTGCCTAACCCTCAGGTCCGCAAGGTCTTCATCTGTAAAATGGGCCAGTGCAATATTTGCCTATAAACCTCACAGCATTTTGGAGGCTCAAATGAGACTATGGGTGGAAAAACATTTGTAAATCATAAACTGCTGGTGTGATATTATAAATAGTGTTTGAAATAATTGGTATCATGGATGGGTTTGGAGCTACAGAGAGAAAATATTACCTTCACTGAGGAGGTCTTGAAATAAGAATTAGTCCTATTACAAGACCTTCATTGTCTCTGGCAAATCATTTTAATGTCTTGATATTATGGTTTTTCTCTTTATGTAACTACTTGGATTATTTTTTGAGCACAGATGTGTGGCAGATAGCCATGAGTAACATATCTGAAAGCATCTAATATGGTAGACTGCTAGAATATATTAGTATCTTGAAAAGCTACAAGTTATTTTATGACTATCCTTGGAGTAATCCTATGAGATAACTTTCCCTTTTTATAGCTAAAGAAATTGAGGTTAGAGTTAGGCAGTTAGTAGGTGATAGGACGAGATTCATTCAAACTTCTTTCTAATTAGAGCATATATTATATTCTACCACACCATGCTCCCTAGAGAATAAATTCTTACATTTGCATATGCCAAAAGAAAAATAGGAATATGCCCAAAACTAATAAAAAGTAATATTGAATATCAACTGTAATTGAAAAATAAGATTTTTTAAAAAGAAAGATAGGAAGTCAACATAGATAACACTCAATGGGGAGGCCATCTCTATAAGTAACTGCAATGCCTACTGCTGTCTGGCCTGGTTCTAAAGCTCTTTGATAGAACCTGTGCACATGCACTCATTCTTATTCTTCAAATCCACAGGTGTCTGAAGAATTACCAGTATGTTTGCTACCTCTTTGCCGTGGGACTGGATGGGCTCTGCTATCTCTGCCTACCAATGCTTCAAAGTCTCCCACTGCTCGTGCCTTTTTCCTGTACTTTTGGCTACTTTGATGGTGCCTATGTGACCTTGATCCCAGTAGTGACTGCAGAAATAGTGGGGACCACCTCTTTGTCATCAGCACTCGGTGTGGTGTACTTTCTTCATGCAGTGCCATACTTGGTGAGCCCACCCATTTCAGGTAAGTTTCTAGAGAGAACCCCCAAACACCTCTTCTCTTTGTTGTGTTGATGTGAAAACAGTGAACTCACACACAGAAAATGAGGGTTGGAAGTAAGGTGGGGAAGAGTGAAAGAGAAAGGGATGTAAGAGCCACCAAAACATCATGATCTCACCTATATCCTTGTTTTATAATCTTCTAACCAAGTAGGGACCTTAGTCTCCTTGGAAAGGCAACATTCCAAGTTAGGGTCTTGGTTCCATTCCATGTTAATGATGAGAGCAATGGAATGGAGCAGCTGTTCAGACTTACACATTAGGTTGGGCACATTCATAGGGAAGTCTGGTGGGAGAACAGGGTTCTAATAGGAGATGGGTGGTGAGGCTGAAATGATAAGTCATAGTGAAGTGTCTTGAGTGCCAGCCAAAGGGGCCCTATATTCTTTAGAGACTCTGGATAGTATTACAGTTTTTGTGCAAAGGGGTAATATGGTAAAGAGTATATTTTAGAAAATGTGATCTAGCAATTGATCTGGTTATTCAAGGGAGAAGTAGTTAGGATTCCATTCTAATAGTTCAGGAGCAAACTGATAAAGGCCTGAACTATGGCTGATACAGCAGAATAAAAAAACTCTGGAAGCAAGAAGGAAGTTTTGTAAAAAAAACAAACAAACAAAAAACAAGAAAAAAAAAACCCAAATCAACTAAATTAAGCATATGAGGGTAAAGGAGAGAAAGAAGTCCAAAATCACTTAGAAAACAATGGCATGGTTAAAAGTAATAAGGAAGTTGGAGAAAGTGGCTTTGCCAGAAAAAAATAATGAATTTAATGTTTAGACATACTGAGATGTATGAAATACCCAATAAAATGACCAATAGCACTTTTTAGGGATGAAATCTGAACTTTAGAGAGAATATACAATTGACATACAGATTTGGGATTCATCAGACAAAGTATCTGGAATGTTTTGCAAACTTTAAAATGCTAAAGAAATTTAAAGAATGATGAAATAAGTGAATCCAATAAATACTTATTGCTTATGGACACCAACCTTGTGCTAGGCGCTGTTGCTATAGCAGCAAATGAGTCAGAACCCTGTCCCTCCTTCCCAGAGTATGTGGTCAAGACCAATTTCTCTTAGATTGAGGTCCTGGGACCACCTACATTAGACTCCCCTGATGCCTTTGTTAAAAATGCAGATTTCTTGACCATCCCTCTGTGATCTGAATCTTTGGGGGTGAGTGTCAGGAATCTAAATTCTCAGCCAGCTTTTTTGTGACAGTCCGTCTCACTTGATTGAGACGAACTGGTCCAGATTAGTACCTGCCTAAATTAAAACCAAGAGAATGATGGTCTCTGGAGACAGGCAAAAAGAAATGAGCCAAACATTTGCCTAGAAGCAAATAGGGGAATTTTTAAAAGAAGGCAGGATTTCTGCTTTAGCTGCTGCTGTGAGTAGATAGTTGAGGGTTATTGTCAAACTCCAGCAAGTGCTTAAAAGCAGCAAACAAGAGGAAACTATGGCTGCTTGATGGCTGCAGATGAAAATTCCTGGTCAGTTTAAACTCTATGATACAGGACTATATGTTTAGTGCTTCCTGTATGAAAACTGCCCCCCAAATGTTCCTACCTCCTCCCTTTATAGCCAGTTTTTGTTTGCTAACCTTTGGGAGCAGGGTCATTCTGTTAAAAAGTCATTGGACATGAAATGAAATTAGGATTCCTGGATCCTTTTGTCAATTAGGGCCTTTATTTGGCAAATCAGACACTGTACTTATTGCCAGGCAGTAGAGGGTTAGGTGTGGGTCCTTATTGTAATACTTCTGTTATTTAATTATCTTTAAAAATGACAACTCTCCTCTCAGTTCCTTCTGTTTGGTTCAGAATGCACAAGCAAGTCACAAGGTAACTATAATATTTGAGAGCACTTTGGATTGCAGGAAAGTTTGTGGGGCTTATAACAATTTTTGTATGCTATTTTTTAAAAGTATATTTTTATTGATTTCAAAGAGGAAGGGATAGGAGAGAGAGAGCTAGAAACATCAGTGATGAGAGAGAATCATTGATCGGCTGCCTCCTGCCTGCCCCACTCTGGGGATCAAGCCCGCAACCCGGGCATGCGAATTCTCATCTCCTGATTCGACCACTGAGCCATGCCGACTAATTTTACATGCCATTTTTTAACTAATGGATTTGAAGTGGGTGAGAGGAGATAGTATACGCTTCTCTGGTGGATTTTCTTAGTGTACAAGCAAACTTTGGAGGAATTTAGCTTTTTAATATAAAATAATTGCCTGCTAAAGTCTAACTTTACCCCATTGATTCTCTGATCAGTGTGGCCCATATTTTGCAAAACATATGCCCTGGTTCTCCTCAAAATTTAGAGCTGGAATAGATATTGAGATTAACCTGTTGTAACAAGAGATAAGAGGGAAAAAAGCTGTGATAACAGAATTATGCTTTCTGAAATTTGCATTTGCAACTTCTAAAATGATCTAAAGTTCTGGTTTTCAAACTGGATGTAGTACAATGACTGAATCCAATTGACAATTTGGATTCTGCTTTATCCAGAAACATGTACTGAAGACAGATGGAATATTGGTGCTGGGAATACTAATAGCATTTTATATGATTCTTTTCTCTTAACACCCTAGATAATTGATCCCAACATCAATAATTTGAATGATGCTACCATATTCATTCTACCATATTTCATAGGATTAATAATAATAATATTTAATATTTATTTTGTGGGTACAAAGAATATGACACTCTCTGGGCACTTTACAGAATAACAATCCATTTAAGAAGTTTCCCTAGAAAATATAATGCATTTTCAGCTGCTGCACAATATTTTTAGGATGTTTGCTTTTTGTGTCAAGGTTATAATGGTAGTGCTAGCAATCTGTTATTATTAGCCTTAAAAACTATTAGATTTCAGAGTGTGTAAGTAATTGAATTTTCAACTCAACAATATGATTTTGCTGTTGCTTGTTACAGGATGGCTGGTAGACACGACTGGCAGCTACACAGCCGCATTTCTCCTCTGTGGCTTTTCAATGATATTTAGTTCTGTGTTGCTTGGCTTTGCTAGACTGGTGAAGAAGATGAAAAAACCCCCGCCGCGGATCCCTGCCCAAGAATCTGATGCCAAACGGCAGCTATGGACCAACGGATCGGTGGCTTATTCTGTAGCAAGTGAATTAGATCAGAAAGACCGGGAATCTGTGGCTATGGCTGTGCCTGGTTACAACCCCACATGACCAATGGCCTTGAGCTTGGGAATCTGCAGGGCTAAGAGAGGTGGGACCACTGGCTTGTACCTGTTTCTAAAGCATTTTATTTTGGCAGAAGCATTGCCTTCCAAGGAAATTAGTATTGTTGTCCTGTTCACATATTTATAGGGGGAAATAGCAAGTAACAAAGCAAGCTGGACTGGCTCAGAGTTTCCTCATTTGGGATTGGCACTCACAATGGAACTCACAGCTTTCAGGCAGTGGGCATCACTCCATAGAGAATGTTAGGACATAGCTGATGTAGTTAGCTGTAATTAGGGGTAATTCCAAGGCATGAACAAAGAAGATGACACTGGGCAGCAGCTTTGTCTCAAACCCTCTGGGCCTCCACCTTCCTTCTTCAGTTAGAAGGTGAAGAGAATCATTGACATGTAGGTTTGTCTGCTTTAGACTGTGTGAAGGAAGGGATCAGCTGAGGTATGATAGTGGAAGGTGAAGGTGCCAAACCTTTTCCATAGTGGAGCTTCTCATTAGGGTTTTAAACAGGATTGTTAAAGAATACTTTAGATTCTTCAAGAGGATGGTTGATACAGAATGAAAGGGACTGCCTCCCCCTCCACCCTTCAGCTAGCCCTGGCCTTTGATAACGGTGGGCACCACTTTGAGAATCCAAAGAATCATAGAATGCTGTGGTTGAGAATTATCCTCAGGGTGGCTGGTAAGATCTTCTGTTTGAAATAGTGCACTGGAAACTGAAAGGCTTTCCTAAAACTGTGTCCCAGACTCTCACCTTCGTTACTATCACGTGCAATACTTATTTTCATTTAGCAAAACAACCAAGTTGCAAGGGCAATTTCTACCTTGAATGTTAACACCAACACTTGGTGTGTTTGTTTTTTTCCTCCTGGGGAAAAAAGCTCTTGTTTATGAATTGCAGACACATTCCTGTTAGGAATGGAAAAATATTGGCAGTATTCCAACTGGCCGAGAATTGAACTTTTGAATCAGCAGGTCTCTGGTGAGAGTTTTCTTTTCAGATTAGACATTTAGGTTCATCATTGCCCAAAACAGGATTTGGGGGTTTTGCCTGAAAAATATTATTCTAGAGATATTCTGAAGGTGAGATGCCTTTCTCTCTGTGTTACTTCCTGCTCAATTGTCCACTACTTTTTATCCTCATGGATACTCATTAGAAACTTAGTGGACATTTTTAGCTGAATGAGAATGTGTCAGGGGTTAATTTCAGCATCATAGTACTCTCATAAATTATAACTTTGATCAGGGGAGAGGAAGAAGTTTAAGAAGGCTAGTGGTGTGATATTTTATAATTCATAGAACACTTTAATTGACTGGATTAGAATAGTTTACTAATTCCCAAGTACTCTACTTTCCACTGGTTTGGGATAATTTCTGAGTCTTCAGATTGAAGGGGGAAGGCATGGGGAGAGAAGAGATGGCCCCCAACCTGTCTCTACTCACTTTAATTACACAGCATGATAATCCTGAACCCCAAATTATGTTACACTTTTAAATAGGGGCAAGTTATACAATTAAAAGTGGATTTTAACTATTGAACACATTTTAATTTGAACCTCAAGGAAATATTTTGACGCTGAAGGCCATTTAATCCACTGTCCTCCAAGAGACCTCACAAATGCCCTGCCAGAGGTACTGAGAGGGGAAAAAACACGGCAATGAGGAAGATTTTTTTTTTTTTTGCAATGAGGAATATTTTAGATGAACTAAGCATGTTCAGCAAGTCTTTGCACATAACTGGATTATTTAATAAAACTACATATTAATGTATTGCTTTCAGAATGAAATACTGACTTGATTTGATGGGAGAAAACTGTAATATTTCATAGTTGTTTTTCAAAGAAATTTGAATGTTATTTGTTATCTTTTTACTTAGTGTGAGAATTTAGTTGTGAACTTTGTCACCTATAATTTTTTTTTAGTAATGTATTTTTCCTTTATTTTATTTTTCCATCACCATTTATCACCATAAACCCTTTCCACCCACCTCCACAGTCACTGCACTGTTGTCCATGTCCATAAGTTCTTTATTGTTCTTTTCTTCTCTGTAATTTTAAAACAATATTTGGAAAATATCTGTAAAAAGTCAAAGTTAAAAATGAAGTTACATGTGTTTAGAAGAGCACTTTACACTAAATGTCATTTCTTGAACCTTCAAGTCTAAAGTTTTTTTAAAAATAGAAACAGTTATTAATATTATTATATATATATTTCCTAGAAGTGATCATAGTAAAATTTTATTTCTCTGGTCCTGAAATATAATTTCTCTAAAGTATTATAAATATTCACGAAAAATGAGCATAGAGATCAGAGCTTTTAAAAATTTGTATAATATATTTGAGATACTTTGACTTTATACATGCATAAATTTCTATTTTATTTTTCTTGCGGGGCGGGGGGCAGCATTTTTAGAAAACCAGTAGGGAAATATAGATCTTAGAGACTATCATTATCATCTACACACAATTGTTTATTTCAAATGGAAGGATTTGTGGAAATGATGTGTTTTATGGGATGAAGGACAAAATTGTGGTGAGATGATGCCAGATCTTAAATATTTTTTTATGTCACTGCAAGCTATACTCTGAAATTGAGTAGGAAAACAAAGAAAATTAAGTGCTATCAATACTTTTTCAAATTGTGATGTCTCTAATAGATCAGAAATTTATGCTAAATTTTCTTTTGGCAAAAGCTTAATAAAATGAGTTTATAGTCGTGTGTGGAAAAACATTTTCCCGCTACACAAGGGGTTTGGATTGGATGGTGCGTGGGCCTGTCTGAATCACACTAAGATTTAACTGGTATAAAAGATGTGGTAGCAATCAAATATTTTGCAAAACCCCAAACCATTTATGAGTACTTCCAATGTAAAGCTACTGTGCTAAGCACTTCCTATTGCTTATTTAATCCCCCGAGAGCCTAAATTATCGCCATTCTATAGGTGTGGAAACAAGCCTCAGGTCCAGTACCTTGTGAAACCCTGCAAAACTAGGAGGCTGATGCTGGAGGCTGCCTCCTTCTCTCCTGCCCGCTCCGATCATTTTCTTATGTGGGTTTAAGAAGCCCTTTGGAAACAGGCCCTCCCTTGGGCAGATAAAATCCTTTGGATTAGACTTGAATCTTCCAATTAGTATAGATGGGGAGATTCTAGGTTGAAAATTTCCAAGAGTTTTCCCAAGCCTCTGGTTCTATCAATATCACTACTTCCAGGCTAAGTGATTTAATTGGTGTCTATTGATCCAGGTTTCTCTTTGGGGACATTTGTGTGAAGGGAGTAGGGAGACAGTTGGAGAACACACTTTGTCACAAAAGAGAGTTCTGCCTTCCACATTACCAAAGTCAGCTTTCTCAGTCAGGAGTTGAGTTCTTTCTGAAGTGCCTGCACCATTGCCCAGTGACGATGAAGATGGTAATGTCAGCTTGACTCTCACCTTCCTGGTCCCAATAGGTGTAATTCTGAAATTATTTATTGAAATGAAATAGGGTGAATTTGAGGCAGATATCTGAGTTTTTCCTCCTCATACTTCAAAGTTTGAGTTTTTCTTGGAAAAAAAAACACAAAAAAAACCTCTACCAAATAATAGATTTTTATACCTATTGCCAAAGCTGCTACCTGATTGAGGCCTGACTATAAAAAAATGATACCACTGTGTTCAGCCCAGACAGACAGGCTGAATTCAATAGAGTGCCGGGGCTGGGAGCAGGATGCTGCTCACACTGGAGGCCTGAACATTGGGAAAAGATGGAGCGCATGCGCCTCATGCATGAAAAGATGGCCTTACAGGTATATAGTCACCACACAAGCTGTTTTAACTTCACACAAAAACTTTAGACTAGGGTCTGGCTAGGAGCAAAAGTTCCTGACTAGAGTCTTTTGCTTAGTCCTATGCTGGCCTCTGACTAATGGGCATTACTGACAATCAGCATGCTGCCAAGCATTTTTAAGAGTGGGTGAGAGAAGATAATAACTACTTAGTAAGCACCTCCTCAGAATCTGCCACCATGTTGTATATGGTAAGGAATTCAAAATACACATAGCACCCCCCCCCCCCCCCACGGTTTCAAGTTCACTGCCTAATTGGCAAATTGAAAGTAACACAGGTGAGAGCAACACCTAGAGTTATTAAATCCTGAGGCTAAGAGTACTGCCTACTCTGGCGTTTAGGAGAGGAAGAATCCATAGTGTGCTGGAGAAATTTGAGGAGGTTCTGAGGAACGCAGGCCAGGTATGGGATTGAAATCAGCCTCTACTCTTTTTAGGGGAAGAAGCTGGGAATAAGGGAATGGATGTTGGGCAGCCGGTTTATGTGGCTTTCTAAGGTCAATGCAGAACCACACACAAGTTGACACTAATAAGTGTTCTGGTGAGGGGACCCATAAGGGTATCTGGGACTTTTGGGATTGCTGGGATTTGGGGGTTGCACTTGGCTTCTCTAAACAGAAAAAATTTCAGGGCATTGAGTATACTTCACTAGAGGCCCAGTGCACAAAATTCATGCACGAAGGTGGGGGGGGGAGGTTGGTCCCTCAGCCCAGCCTGTGCTCTCACAGTCCAGGACCCCTTGGGGGATGTCCAACTGCCAGCTTAGGCCCTATCCCCCTGGGCCACCGCTGCTGCACTCACCAGCCGTGAGCCCGGCTTCTGGCTGAGCGGCGCTCCCCCTGTGGGAGGGCATTGACCACCAGGGGGCAGCTCCTGCATTGAGCATCTGCCTTCTGGTGGTCGGTGAGCATCATAGCAACTGGTCCTTCCACCATTCAGTTGATTTGCATATTGGGGTTTTACTATATAGGATTATTCATCTCTCAATTCTAAAAAGGGATAATTTGTAAGTTCTCTCTTTTTTGGTGTGTTTGTTCTTTATTTTTTATTTAAGTATAGTTGGTATCCAATCTTACATTGGTTATATTAGTTTCAGGTGTACAATATAGTGACTCAACACTTTTATAACTTACGTGATCACCCCACTAATTCTAGTAATCATGTGTAAACGTGTATACTTATCACAATATTATTGACTATATTCCCCTTCCCCTTTTCACCCATCCTACCATTCCCTCCCTCTGATAATCATTCCTTTGGTGTATTTGTCTTTCTCTGCCTGGTTTTTCTCACTTAACATAATACCATCTAGACCCATCCATGTTGTTGCAAATGGAAAGATTTCAATTTTTATTGCTGTGTAATATTCCGATGTATATATACCACATCTTCTTTATCCTCTCATCTATCAATGGACTCCTAGGTTGCTTCCAAATCTTGACTATTGTGAATAATGTTGGAATGTACATAGGGATGCATATATCCTTTCAAATTGGTTTTTCCTCCCTTTGGATAAATACCCAGAAGTGGAATTGCTGGTCATATGGTATATCTATTTTTATTTTTTTTGAGAATACCCATACTGTTTCCACAGGGGCTGAACCAGTTGTTTTTTTTTCTACCAGCAGTGCACAAGGGGTCCCC